AGAACTCGGAGGATTTTCGTTTTAAAACTTCACTTCCAGTGTCTCGCCGGTGCAATTGATCACAAATTTGCTCTCGAATATAATAAGTCTTGATCATATAGAGCATGACTGTGTTGGACTGCATAATGTATACGGTGATGTTGATTACATTAAAGCTTCTTGATGAATTTCTGTCAATTGTTCAGTGGAATCGCGCATGAGACCACGTCGTCTTTCAGGTGTCATAATGGATACGAATAAAGAACAAAGCCTCAGCACTGTATTGGGTGACCTGAAGCAGCCGCTGAATCCGGAAAATGACGCTAGTGAGGATGAGAGCCACAGTGATAACTGTAAGGATAATGGAACGAAAGTATTGCGAAAACAGAATGGGAATGTACATAAATCGATATTGTATATAAATGTTGGTGGACGAAGTGCACGATTGGATGAAGATCTGGTTCGTTCTGATCCTCATTTTTGCGTCATCTCTTGACGATAGATTTTCCAGCACTGCTTTTCGCATCGTTCATCTTCTGAGTATTCCTCGGATTATGAAGACTTTGTCAGCAGCTCAATCAAGTGATGATGCTGATCCATGCTAAAGATCAAAAGCGTTGCTAAGCGGCATTCTACTTTAAAAAGCATCCAAATGCTGCTGTCTTAATTGGTTGTATGTGTAACAGCTGATATCATAAGCAGTGCATCTACTTGATGATCTTACAAATCGCATGATAATCTAGTCAGAAATTCTTCATGGGATTATTCGATCAGTTCCTCGCTAAAATTCTTAGGATTAGGTATGTTGTGAAGTCATATGAGTGTTTAATGGTCATTATTGGCGATATAGTGAGCAAAAATGATATGAGTACTATCGATAAGGACACCAGCAATTAGAAAATGAAGGTCCTCAGTTAGAGTGAAAACATAGGAGAAGCTCAGGGAAAACGTAAAAGCGTTTACCAACATTTTAATGTTAATGAAAAACGGCCTGTAAGCTAAAAAATTAACTTGTGAAAATTTCAGTTGCGGCACAGATACGATTGTGGTCGCTTAGCGCATTTTTGTACGCTGTCGCACCACGAACGCCTTATGGAGTGCGATGCCTACTTCGACTCCACAAAAGAATATTACTTCGAACGATCACCGATCATATTTGAATATATCATTGATTTTTACATTACAGGTTCGTTCCACAGTTTCAGCGCCGCAGCATTTCATGATAATCAGTCGTTTCGTTAGCTGTTGAAAATTCAGTTGGAACCGCATTAGCTATGAATGCTACAAATTAAATGATTTCAAAAATAACAGTTCATTGTCGACGTCTTCTGCGAATAGCCACACTCATTCACAGCGGATCATGAATGCTGTCCGAAACAAGCAAAGAACTACAACAAGTTGATGAAACTTCAGGACGACTGCATCGACCGACGGATGTGTGTCCAGTTCGAGTTCGTACCGAGCTTGACTTCTGGCGTTTACCAGTGCATCTATTGGCCAGATGCTGCACAATTGATACGCAACTGGGTGATCTTCAAAAAAGAAATACTGTCTCAACAAGTGATCAGGTATATATTCTCTTTAGGTCTAGTAGATTCTGATGATAGTGAGTTGTGCTTAATAGATACGAACACAACCTGCATAAGACCATCAGTTTCGGCACGTTATAAACNTTATAAACTCAACGTGATTGGTTTGTATGGATATTGGTTATATGAAGTCGACGTTTTATTATTAGTAACTTCAGAATGGGAAGCGAGTGTTTTTGTCGAATACTCTTCCTTTTGCAGTCACTTTACATTCCCACAGAATCGTCCCTTTATCACAAAAACTATTCCCGGACTAAATTTCAAAGCTGAATGGATTTAGCTTTATTAGTTGTCGATTTAGCTTTAATTTAGCTTTGATCACTGAAGAAGATCATCTGAAACGCATGTTTACTGCTTATATGTCGTGTTGTTTTGCTAGTTGCTCAACAACAATAAACTAGTGACATTTCGAATAGATGAAACGCTTCGAAATCCACAGAAATGATTCGCTCTTAATGCTAAGGATCATTAATTTGTTTTATGCACCATTAATCCTTGAGAGCAATTACTTCCGAGAGTGATCAAAATGAAGTGGCCACTCAACAATCAAAAATTCTCTTTCGTCCTTGTTTATCATGATAAAACATTACAAACAACATCGGAAAATCACTTAGCGATTATCACAAAATGCTGTGTGTTCCTTCCAAATTAAGGCAGCATTCGTGGTGACGGTGAAACGTGCAAGAATTCACACTTGCTTGCATTAATGCATTGACTTTGAGTCCTGAACACACATCCCGTAGATTGCGAAAAATTTCAGAGCATTGTCAATGCTTGTGCTGTGCTTTTCAGTTTATGCTGATTCGATTTCGAGCAGTTAATATGATTTGAATAGCGTTGTCGCGTTTAAAATGATTCAATCATGCTCAGGAGAGACTTTCTTCGCATCCGCAACAATACTTCATCTTGCCAGTTATCTGTTCCCGCGTTTGACTGCGTTCCTGAAATCGCAGTCAGCAGCAGTCATGAAAGTTAGGCTTATGGGTTTAGTGCAACCCTGAGCAGTAAATAGTTCAAGTGACTGTTGATGGAGGAGACGAGGGAGAGGTGTTTGCAAAGGGCACACGACAGCCTTGTTCAGCTGACTCACAAGATTATTTTTTTTGCGAAAATTCAATCCTCAGAGTGTTTCAAAACAATGCTCTCTTCGGATGATTACAAGCGGTGAGCGTTGAATCAATACGATATTATGCTTTTGAATTAGGCACATTCAGATAATAATCAACTTTTGCTCAAATTTCTCGTATTACGAACAATTCACCAGCCTCGGAAGCTGTTTAATGCAATCAAGCAACGAAAAAAGTCATGAAATATAATCCAAGCAATTTTCCGTGCTGTTATCAAGTTACCCATGACGTGCAGATCCGATAAAGTGTTCAGCATGAGTGTTTAACGGGACACGTTAATAGTCATCGTTCTGGCGTCATAATCATGCACGATTTTTTTCGGAGGAAATATTAGTCTTCATCCGGCGGTCCCTGATCGATTCGAAACCTTTCTCTCAGTCAAATCCTCATTTTGAGATATCTGCTAGCTGTAATATTACGGCTAAACTTCAGCAAAGTATCTAAATGATAACGCATTGTCAGGGTTCAGCTTCTAAATGCATTCGTTTTGTTAACAACCTCTGAGTGAATGAACGGAACATGCGCACTGGTAAGTGAGAAAAAATGATTGGTTTTCGCGTGAAGAGAATGAAAACGTGATCGACAAAACGCAATTAACACGCTCGTTTGATAAACGAATTTTGTGAACGCACTTGAAAGGAATTGGAATTTTCAGTTGTTGGCATTTACAAATGAAGACAATTGAATGAAAATCTCTGAAGTGAAAATTCTCATGAGAACGATTAACGTGACATCAGCGGTCGCTGAATCAATGCGTTCAAAATGTTGTTTGGAAGGGGATATCGTGCACCATTCATCTACCTAATGAGCATTTACACTTTTCACAACATTACATAAAAATATTTGTTTAAATTTTCAAGCTTTAAGAGCGTATTTCTTAACTTATTTTGATAAAATTCAATTCCTGGGCTTTTTTGTATGTGAGTTGCATGACATCGTATGGGAACTACATTAATTGCTGCACTTTTATGTACATGACTTATTTTTGGAATATTAGAGGATGGATCACTATGGCAACTCAAGAGTTTAGTTTTCAATCCTCAAATATCCTCAACCATATTAAACTCCAGCATTGAAGGGGTCATATTGAACAGTTTGGGTAAAGAGGAAAGCGCAATGAAATGATCAGCAATTCATTTGAACAAAAAACTGATAACATTGCACAAACTTATAACGTTGAGAATGTTTTTAGCTACTGATGATTATGGAATACTTGCTTGAATACGAATAATGTGCAGTTACACATTTGATGCCGAATTTTTTGAGTTAGAGATTTGCAAAACTTTGTGGACATGAAATTTTGAAAAATTAGTGATTGCGTTGCAGATTTACCTCGAGATGTCGTGTTCGCCGATCGCATTCAACAAAGTTTGCCTTGGTAAACAACGTCTCCTCATTTGGAATTTTTTCGAGAATCCTCGTTCATCGACTGCTGCAAAATGCTTCTCAATCGTGTCAGCGCTATTCGTTCTACTCTCTCTCTCAGGTTATTATTCTCACTTCTAACATCTCTAAACAAATGCAAAATTGTTATTGCATTGAATCCGTAAAGTTGCTTCCATGAAGCCGTCAAAATTCGAACTCTAATGAACATTTCATAAGGCAACAAGCGGATGAAATATTACTATCGTTGAAGGAAAGCCGTATGTGGGGATTGAATTGATGTTTTTTTTAGATTTGATACTTTGCTCGATGCCAGAGCTTCAGGATGCCAATCAAGAGCCGCATTGGACACTTGTTTACTTGGAAATCGGGTTAGCGATTGTGCTCATCTTTGAATCAAGCTATATTCATTGATCACTGTGTAGGTCAGAAAGCCTCACACAGCTCACATATGGAGGCAATCCGTGCTACCGTCTATTTCACAACTGTATTTATAACAGCGTAAACTAGCTGATACCGTCAAGAGTTTTATATAATTTGTTCGAAAGCAAGATGATAGAAGCCATCAAAATGCTCTCCACCTCATATCACATGCATCACCTTCAAAGCCAATTAATGTGCCAGTGAATTGTATCGTATTACAGTTGTATGCTGTGGTTTACGTTTGAGTACGTTATGCGATTCATTGTGAGTCCTCGGAAATGCTCATTTATAAAGTCACCGTTGAATGTGATCGACTTGATGACAATTTTGCCCTTCTACGCCGAAGAGTGTTTACCGCTGATGGGACTCGTGAAAGCTGTTGAGCTGAGAAATATTCGAGGTATTGCATCGAGCACTTTTCATTTCATCGTTTCTTCGTGAATTGTGTTAGCAAACAATGACGAATTCATCAGGGAGACAGGTTTTATGAAAGCGCTTCGANGCTCTCGAGCACTTTTCATTTCAAAATTTCATCGTTTCTTCGTGAATTGTGTTAGCAAACAATGACGAATTCATCAGGGAGACAGGTTTTATGAAAGCGCTTCGATTAAATCTTTCAATTAAAGATTGAAGTTGAATTCATTCAGTATGTTCACGAATGCACTATTGATATGATTATCTCGTGTCGCTGAATGAATAAATTTAATTTCTGATTTGATGCTTTCATCTATAACTCACAATGACACGAAACGCTTTGGGAAAATTTCTATATTTAAATCGGCTAAACGAAATGTTCTTTTGCTTCATTGAAAAAAAAAAACCAAAATCCCACATTTTCTGAGATACCTCATCTCTTTGCGAGGGTCAACATCGCTTCCAGTATTTTATAAATGGATCCAAGAATTCAGACAAATCATAGATTAATGGGGGCATTCAAATTACACAGAATTGGTGGATTTTCATGCAAAAATTGTTCGAATCAAGTGTCTTGCTGTGTAAAGCAGTTCAGTAGTTTCGCTTATATGGTGGTGTGATTCTATAATGCCGTTAGATATATTTCATGAGAGAGAGATCATAACTGAAATTTTATTGAGTCAAGGTGCGATGGTAGTGATTCGTGTGATGCGATTAGCGCGAGTGGCTCGTATCTTCAAGCTGGCCAGATACAGTACGGGTCTGCGGGCATTCGGTGAAACAATGCGCAAATCAGCCGCCGAATTGAGCATGTTGGGAATGTTCCTCTTAACTGGCATACTACTATTTTCGACAGCAATCTATTTCTTCGAAAGGGACGAGCACAACTCTCAATTCTACTCAATACCGGCCGCGTGTTGGTGGTGTAAGTTTTTTAAGCTGTCTGATCAAATCAATGGAGATTGATCGTATTTCATGTAATAATTCGTGTGAATTTATGCATTGTCAAGCTGCATTTATCGTGCTGTTGCTTCATTGAACAAGGGAATGAATATTTCAGGTGTTATAACGATGACAACGGTGGGTTATGGTGACTTGGTGCCCATGACAGCAGG